TCACACATAAGAACAGGCGGATTTCTGCTCGATTTCTGTAGCGGAACGAAGCTGCGGACGGCCGATCTCGAAAGTTGTGCGTCACTTATTGGCTAGGTTCTGTGGCACATTCTTGTGTAATGAGCATAGTAATGCGGACCGTAGCGGAACATAATAAGTAGGAGTGAGGACTAGAATCCACTGAGACGGAGGTAACAGATATGTAGGATTTAGGAGTAGGATTTAGTTCTCCAATTAAACCCTCTCGGCCAACCGCTGCGGCACGATGTTCGATGTGTGTGAACTGCTTGTTCCAGTTCGGTGCCCTTGCCGTCTATACTATACCGGATCGCTTTTCGTGTCAGCACCAAAATCTATACGGTAGACGTGAGCGTAGAAATTTAGCATCTGCGAAACCTTACCCTGAGTTAGCAATCGGGGAAGAGAACGAGCGCAGTTTACGTTCTTTCTTTGCTTGACTTGGAATATATTTGTTTTAGAACAGGAGAGCTATAATTACATGTAAAACATCCGGGAAGTAAGTTTTCAAATAAAATAAGACATTTAAAACTGGATACTGCTCTCTCTATACGACAAGGAAGAAATTTAAATGCAGGTATTTTGAGATAATTTTTTTTCTGAAAACGCAAAAGAAATCTTGAGCTCAGCCAGAGCCTTTATTTTCGTTCTCGTTTAGATACATTTGGAGAAACTTCAGTACCACAAGCAGACCATGACTGCAAAAGATACTCTTCCAGCTCTAGCTGCCAAACTTGCAGACAAGTTCAAAACCAGGTTTGCAGTGGTAAGGCGACTGAAGAAAGCAGTTGAAGACTCGTACAATCGAGCTGCGAATACAAAGCCAGCCAAGGAATGCTGTAAGGCCGAGAAATCTAAACTTCAATACAACACGAGGTTCCGATCTCTAGTGGACGTAAACAATTTTTGTGCTCAGATTTCTAGTACTGCTTCACCCAGCCCAGTCCACTTAGATGAAAGCGTTCTTTTGGAAATGCAAGCTATTTTTAAAACGTATTCTTTCTTCACTTGGCAGTACTTTGCTTCAGAGGAAGGCATGTTGACTGTCTTTCCGGTTCACTTTAACGAAAAGGATTGTTCTAAATACGACCCTCGATACAGACCGTTTTACGTGGAAACCGCCACTCCGGAAGCTAAAGACGTGGTTTTGGTGATCGATACAAGTGCATCCATGATTGGAGAGAAACTTGTCATCGCCAAAGAAGCTGCAAACACAGTGCTAGAAACCATGAATCCAAAAGATCATGTAAGTGAATATTAACTAAATAAGGAACAGAAAACATCTGTGCTACGTGCTTATCAATAGGGTTGCAGATGAGAGAGGATATATATTAGCTTGAATACAATAGCCAATCGACGTTTCGACTAGAAAGCGTTTCCGGGCGAGTTCGCCTTGCCTTCGCTTCGACTTTCGCGAAATGCCTCAATCGCGGAAACCCATGTTACCCGCGCTAACATTTCAATGCATCGTGCCGAATAATTTTCTTCACATGAAATTTTAACTGGCTTCGAAAGTAAACTTTTTCTTTTCTTTTCTTTTTTAATTTTAGGTTGGAATTGTATCCTTTAACACTAGGGTCGCAACCCCTGGAATCTTTGGTGGGAAAAGGTTATGTTACGATGAACGGTTAGCAAGAGCAACTCCTGAAAACATCAATAGTTTAAAAAGCTATGTTGGAGGACTTGTTTCCCACGGTAAGAGCTAGGCGCCTCATATATTTTATATATCTGACTGGATTTGCAAAAACATGGCTATAGAAATCTTTCTAATATACCTTCTGACCGAGTCTTGTAGTGGAGCTTGTTTTCATTTTTTTTTTCAGTTACTTTTTATTGCCCCCGCAGGGATTTCGCCCAGGAGAAGAAATCCCGAGGAGGCACTCTAGTAACTCGCGCGTATATTAAGGAAAGTACTTACAGTTGAAATATACAGTCCGTATGCCAGAAAAAACCTCGATTTGCGTGAACAGGGGCCGCGAGGAATCGGTAGGTAATGATGACGTTTCTATTGTTTGCGCCCGCAAGTAAGAAATGGTTAGGATGATGTAAAGACAGAAAATGCCGAAGGGACCGCTTAGGTAAATTTTGTGACATTTAGTGTGCAGTCATACTTCGATACTCTTTTGCGTTACGCGGTGTTATCAGTGACATTTTGTGGAGCAGTTGTTTTGCCTACAGTTATGGTCCAAAAGACACTCGTTAAGCGCAGATGAAGTTATAGGGTGTGTATAACTGTGTATAAGAGTTTGGGAGACACGAGTTCACAAATCTTTGATTGGAAACCTTGCCAGACACTTTTACTCTTTCTTTGACCGGAATAAGACTCAGCCCCAAACAAACAAGTCGAGTGAATCAACGGGTAACTTATCACTAGCAGAACGATGGACGTTACAGAAATTCACCGACAATCAATTTCCGTGCTGACTTATTCCCTGCCCACGATGTCCTTCCGCTGTAAAGTTTAAAATACGACTGCAACGCGCGAGCGCAAGTTGATCAAAAACGTCCTTTTAATTTCTAAGGCTTACTTTCCGGCAAATAAAATGAACTGAATGTCAACAGTGAAAAAGAAATAGCGAAAAATTCAACTTCTAATTCATTGGTTTAGAATAAACTATTCTCGAAACTGAGAATGTTTTGATCAAAGCTGTGTAAATCGAACTGAAACAGTGCGTGGAACCTTGCGTTTCCTGTATTTATCTCGCCTATTGTATGGAATATGCGTGAAAATCTTCATTGTGAATCGGTATTATTTCAGCGGACCTACACAACGAGCAAGAATAACCGACAATATACAGAGCGGGGGGCAGCTGTAGTGTCAACAGTAGTGGAGGAGGGATGTTTTACGCCGGTTTTTTGCGGATTTAATTAACTTTTTGAGCGGTATAAATTACCGCAGATGACGTCATGCATCTCATTAAGATAGGATGATGTCATACTTTAAATTAATTCTGATGACGTCATGGACTCCATTGAGATAGGATGATGTCATAGTTTATTTCTAGATGGCAAGGAGCAAGTGACGTCAGAATTTCCTAGAGTTGACGTCATCAAAAAATGTTGATATCATAATCTATAAACAAAAAAGTGATTTTTATATTATATAATGTTCTAATAACTAAGTTATCAACGCCTGGTTTCTCGAAGCCGTTTCTGCGCTGCCTGAATAGCTACTTGAAAGACCGGTCACATTTCGTACAGATGGATGATCGTACATCTGGAATCAGTGAACGTACGTTTTGGTGTGCAACAAGGGTCGATCGTCGGCCCAATGTCATTTAATCTCTATGTTTCCGATTTGCAAGATCATCTCCCTTCCTCGATTGGTTCATTTCAATACGCTGACGATACTACAATCTACTCCAGCTGTCTAGCTCCTGAGCTACAAACATGTGCGCAAGAACTGAACTCCACACTAAACACTGTGAGCTCCTGGTCTAACGACTCCCATCTAGCACTTAATTCGAAGAAGACAAAGACGATGTTGCTATCCACAAGCCAGATGTCACATGTACATAGTTTAGATAAGGACCTACCAGCTATTACAATTTCAGATAGTACATTAGAATATGGAAATGTAAGTAAGCTTCTTGGTGTCCATTTCCACCAGCATCTTAACTGGGATGAGCACGTGAAAGCAACGTGCAAGAGCTGTTACGGAACAATACAAATACTAAGAAAACTTAAGAACTTTGCTGGTTATAGGCTCAGAAAGCACTTAGTGGAGTCACTGGTGCTGTCAAAACTTGACTATTGTGACACTGTCTATTACCCTTTGCCGGAATTTCAACTAAACGTTTACAACGTGTCCAGCTAGTAGCTGCTAATTTTGTCCTGAATAGGTATGTAAATGACATTAACGATATTATTAAGATAGGATGGTTACCAGTAAGACAGCAAAGAGATTTCCACGTTCTCAACCTCTTTCACCAGGCTTTGTACTCCCCCAGCTGGCTGTCTTACGTACCACTAGATACTGTTAAACATATGCGATCTTTGCGGTCAGGAGCAGCAACAAGATTAACTATACCAATGGAGAGGGGCACTTTTCAAGACTCTGCTGCTAAGTTATTTAATGTCCTTCCGGCAAATATTAGAAACTGCAGCGATTTCAAAGTATATTGTAGGGAAGTTAATGCCTATCTATTAAAATCACTTGTAAATAGTTTGTAAATTGTACATATGGTTGTATTACTATTACTAATCTTTATAACATTTTTTATTTTTTATACAATATCCTTTTATAGTCCGATACTTTTGCTTTTTAGTCGAGCTTGCTCTTGAGCAAAGCGAGACTCTTAAAATGCAGTAGTTTTTTTTTCGTCGGTGGGACCTAGTTTGTAGGCCACGGGTTCCTAGCGATGACCGTGGAAACTGGGGATAAGAATCGTGACGACTTTCATTGTATGGAAATGAGTCTCGTGATGAGCATGTGGTTTATTTTGGGGGATGACTGGAATAACGCGCAATGTTTTTCACGTTTAAGTGCTTTTCTTCCATGTAAAAAAATCAGTCTTTATCTTTTTCGTTAAAACAGGTTACGTTTCATGCTTATATGACATAGTAAGCCGATAAAATCGTAAATGCAAAACAGACATAACAAAAAGTAAAACTGTAAACACGTGCTCCCTCTGATCTTATGGTAATTTGGTTCTGACCTTCACGTGCGAAAAAGTAAATACAGCTAAACGTGACAGAAAGAATAGTTTTGTAAACACGTGTTCCGGGTCATGGTAGCGCAGAATCTGGGGATGAATATCGACACGATGCTCTCAATCTCTGTGAACGCTTCGAAAAACAACGTACCATTGTGCGAATGTTATGTTTTGCAAAGATTAATGGATTATACGGTGATAAATGATATAGAGAAAAACCCTGGTCCTCTTATGCACGGTGTTGATCCTACTAAAACAATACAAGCACCATATAGTCAAGGAGATGCTCATGTATTTGGGCAAAATCCAGGGCAGCAATGTGTTGCAATGAGTTTATGTGCTTTAATATACCATAATACAAAAGGAATAAGTAACTCTGGTGACTTAAAACAAATAATGCATATTGGCAATCAACTTTACAGTAGTTTATCACAACTAGCAAGATGCTCTTATTTACTGCTATCTGAATTACCAGCAATGCTTACAGTAGCAGAAGAAAATTTCCGGCTGGAATAAAGTGCAAGCTATAGTGGCAATGTCCATGGTGAGGCTACCATTGAAGGATACGAATACTGTTTAGGCCTAAAAAGAGCTTTTGAGTCATTGATATCACAACAATACAGATCATTTATTTTGACAGTTGGTTGTATTACTGTCAGTATTGTTTACTGTGTTTATAATGGCCATTTTAAAGTGTTTGACTCTCATGCCCGAGATATTTATGGTAAGAGTCATCGTCAAGGGACTTGTGTACTGTTAGATATACCATCTAAAGATAACTTAATAGAATACTTTCAAAGTTTATATGGAATATACCAAATGTATGAACTTAAAGGTTTACAAATAACAAAATATGACATAACAACAAGCAACAATGTAAAAGATATATTAAATAATACATCATTAGATCAACACAAGAAGTGTTTGAAAAACAACTGTTTTGCAGTAGCTTTTTATTCCATCTGTTACTCAATTATTTCATCATGCAGTTATTGGAACTCAAAAACTTTAGATGCAATCATTCAAAATGGCTCTGAGCTTAACAATGTAATCAAAAATGACTATCATTCAAAATCTATTAATATGGCTGAGAATGTTACAATTTTTGGTATGAAAATAAAAGTAGATGTTAGTAAAGTAAGTCATGGGAAATTAACTAGTTTACCTAAAAACATGATATCTTTAAAGGCATTGATCTTGAAAAACTATGGGAAAACAGGATTTTTAATGTGCATTTCAAGTTACTGTATCGCTTGCATTTACCAACAAAATACTAAAGAGAAGCAATTGTTTTCACTTCTGGCTTATGAAGATAGTATTTCATCTACAATGAAACACATAAAACACATTAGTGGTATAAATAAACTAATGGAGGCAATTCTAAATATTGTTCAAAATGAACAATGTCAGACTTAGAGTATGATATACAATTTATTCACTGTTCTTCTGAAATTACGGAAAATGAAAGGAAAAGAATTATAAGAAAACGCAGAAAAAAACATATATATGACAACTTTGAACCTGCTGCGAAAAAAAGAACAGCTGAAAAAAAGCAGAAAAGGTACTCAAAAATGAATCCTACTAATAAGAAAGAATTACTTTGCAAACTCAAACAAAATTATTAGTCGGACCTAGTTTGTAGGCCCCGCGTTCTTAGCGAAGACCGTGGAAACTGGGGATAAGAATCGTGACGACTTTCATTGTATGGAAATGAGTCTCGTGATGAGAATGCAGTTTATTTCGGCGATGACTGAAATGACGCATGTAAGTTTGGCAATGACGTAATTTTCCTCGAATGAAGGCCCTTGATTTTCGTGTAATTATGCACGACATGCAGGTACATCCCCAAGCAGGATGAAATATGAAATAT